GCTCCGCAATCGGTAGGACGTTAAATCTCTGCGGGACTCGATTCCTTAGTGGTTGTGGCTGTGGATGTTGCTGCCTTTCCTTTGCAATTTCTGTGGAATGGCTAGCCGATTCGATTCGATTGGCTGTTCAACTAGTAGTTATAGTTGCCTGTGTACTACGGAAACAAGGAGGAAATCATATAGCGACGCAAATGATAAATTATATGAGTAGAATAATACAAAACGCGCTTAAAAAAGAACCGCGTTTGCTGGATACGCCGAAGACTGCTTGACTCGTACTGAACCCGGAGTGAGAGGACCCGTAGACCGCCGGCTCTGGCCTGCCATCACCATCAATGGCGAGAGCGGCAGCGACAGCAGCAGCAAACTTTCAACCAGAACAGGAACAAAAACGAGTCACAACTAATAGATACCTATTGGAAAAGTATCTTCAAGGAATTCGTTAAAAAATATAGCTTCCCAAGCCAAAGTTGGACCAAGAAATTTGTGAATATGTTTTCCTTATTCTGATGATAACCATAACTATATTATAAAATAATATATAACTATATAAAAATATATAAATATATTATAAAATAAAATAAAATAACTATATAAAATATCATATTGTTAAAACACTCACAAAGAAATTTAAAAAGTTGGCCGTAATCTATAGCCAATCAGAAATGCAGACGGATATTTATTTGTACAGCTCTTCTAATAAAAGCCAAATGTCATTCGAATTGTGGACACGAAACAAATTGTGCATCTCAGATTTGTAGATACTCCATTTGACTTAGAAACCTCAAAAGAAAACCGCCTTTGCTAACACAGCATACACCCCGCGCCCAAATATACAGGGTAGGAAACCCGAGCGACGGCACCTACATGCAGTGGAAAACCCGGTAGGAAGAGGCTTTCGGGACAGCTTTCGGTTCGGTTTGACTCGGCTACAACTCTACACGCGGCAAACTCTCCAACGAGCTCTGTGCCATACGAATGAGAAAATGGTGAATGAGATGCGAGGGGAGGTACAGGTACATACGATACCCGCTGTTCGAAATCATTTGGAAATGCATTTACAGGACTTAATGCTGCGGGGGTGGGCGTGAGAGTGGCAGTGGCAAAGGCAAAGGGAATGTATGCCACGAGCATGTCGCGTTATCCCCATGTAATCTTAGTAGCTTCTGCGGCACCCAACTCTCGAAAAAAGCATCCACAATACGAAAGAGAAACCAAAAGCGATTTGAAATTTGTGCAAATGTTTGCTCAGGGCTTCTGTGCATTCTCATTTGAAATTAATTGGAATGTCTTTGTCTCGACTGCAAAGACGATGCGGGTGCAAAAGTATTTGCATACATATTGAAGGGTACTTTGGTCGGAACATTATCAAATGTTGTATATGTATATATATCTTAGAAATTCCTCTTTTAGCTCATCTCATATTTTGTACTGCTCCCAAAAATCAAATTTTAGAGTAAACTTTTAAATACTAGTAGATTCTATTCATTCTGTTCAGTGCATACAAAATACATACATAGTACATATGTTTTCCATCTACCTATGCATGTACATATGTATGTATGTATGTGTACCTATCTGTCCCATAATTAAAGTGCTTTACTGTTTAAAGCTGTCACTTTCAACGAGTGACCGTTTTACCAATACTCTATTCTTACGAGTAATTTGTGGATTATACAATACTAGAGCTTTCAAATTTTGTACATATACTTGTTTACTTGTACTTGTAACCACCCCCCACCGCTATGGTCCAGAAATCGTTTCTTTTTCGTAAGCTCGGAAATTTAAATTACTTTCTTCAAATTTAATACTTCTTTGGAAAGGGGCTTTTTCTTGTTTTTCCTTTCCCTCTCCTTTAAACAGGCACTTTTTGAATCGTAGGGGACATTGGGTACCACGGATAGGTTTACATATATAAGCAAAAAGTTATCTCACGAAATAACGAAATTTGTCCGAATTTATAGAATAGTTACACGAAACTGCGATTAAGATTATGTGAAAAATATTTAAAAGGGCTTCGCTAAAGATAGTTATGGATGATAATAGCTCACGAGTATTGTTCGCAAAAGCTCTTCTTGCCGAATTCCCATCATTGCTATTGCCGTTGCCATTCTGCTTTGGCATGCTTATATGCAGACCCATACCTTTCAAACCTTGTATATTTGTATATTTTCATCAACAATAATTGTTATTTTAGAAGCCATCCATTAAGCATGGTTGGTCATAAACCGTTCCATCATTTTGTTGCACTTCAGAAGGTTTAATTTAATGAAGGATTCAAAATTACTGATTATTTTTATCAATTTTTTTTTCATTTTTCAAATGGTTGTTATTGATTTTACTGTAAATCCAATGTGGGACAGATTTTTTTTATTGTTGTTGCGCCAAATATCGATGAGATCGGTATGCAAAAACTCTAACTTTCCTGAATACTAAAAAATTTAAAGAAAAGGGGCCAAAACGGGCTAAAGTTATTAATTTCCAATCAATTCCAACATTTGTAGGTACAAACTCACGTAGCTAGTTTTTCTCAGAAGAACTCAGTTCATTAGTTATATTCTACAAAACACAGGGACGCAGTTAAATTTTCTACAAAAATACACGTAATTTGGTCATTACACAACACTTAAATCTTGGGACTACACATAAAATAGCTATATACATTAAATACTACATTCATTCACATATATACATACCATTATATTCATTTTCCATTTTTACCTGAATTTATTTGAGTAAATTTACTCAATCGCCACGTAAAAATGTAAGCAAATAATTTGGCGCCAATTTTTTTCTCACAATCGGCTGATCGATTGTTCAATTTCAAAGGCTCGCAAAAAGCTTTAGGGAAGCTTACTAATTTTTTTTTTTAATTTTTAATATGTGTGATAAATTTACTTTGAGAATTTGTAAGAAAAAACGTAATCCATTCATATAAAAATTTCGACTTTATGCGAAAAAAAACGAATTCTGGACCATAGTGCACTCTGTCGTTTATCGATAATGAGAGCTCCTTGCATCAATCTTCAAGGCAATCAATTTGCAGCACAGATTAAGTAGGATACTCGGATAGGGTGCAAGCATTTAAGCTTGAGTCCTACACATCCATCCATTGCCCTACTTGACCCCTCCTCGATCCGAAGGGAGAGCGAGAGCTCGTGCTGAAAGCTGCCTGGGAGTCAATTGCAATTAGTGAGCTTACTCAACATTCGGGTCAACAGGAGGCGTCGTCAATGGCGCTGCCTCCATTTCATTAATTAAAATAAATAATGCAATTATGTGTACGGTACAGCAACCCAACCCACAGCAACCACTGAACCACTCAAGCATGAACGAACCCAGAGCAACCCACGCCCGAACATAACAGAACCCACGCTATGTCCCTAATCCAATCCCAGTGCCAGTGCCAGAGTCAGTGCCGCCCCCATTCAAATGTTTGCATTATCCAAGCGAAATCCTGAACTGGGTACATAATGCCCCCCTGCAGTACTGTGCTGCATTATATAGGAAGAAATACGAGTAGGATACGAGAGGATACCCTTCTTCGAGGGATGCGAATGCAGTTGCGCAAGGCTCAGTGATGAAAGCTCTGACGCGCCTTTAAAGCTCTCAGCGGCTTAGGGGCGCTGGCTGCTCCATGGAGACTTGGAAGCAGCCTACAGTGTAGCCCTCCGTGTAGAGTTGGCCAGAGTGGGGAAAACGGGTTTCTTTTTCGGTTGCTTGGGCCGCACCATCCGAAATTGTGTCAAGATGGGTGCGGTACATGTACCCCGAAAGCACAGGACACCGAAGCCACCGATAGAGACATCCACATCGACGGCAAATAGACAAACATTAGAAGGCGATGGTTGTTTTCGTTAAAGCCATTTCAGGCTAGAGATGGCAGGGCAGGGGCTGTGGCACGATGGCACTTGCAACATCCAGTCACGTATTCGAGTAGTACTAGTCGTACGCAAAAATGTATGCCAAATTCCCGATTGGAGTCAACATTGGAACCTACGTAATTGAGTGCAGGATTGGGAGGCGGTATGGATGCGCGTGGGCGGGTTGCGTGGCAAGAGCTGCACCGCGGATCCCGCTGGGTTGGATGCGCGTGTGTGGTTACGCATAAGCCTCAAGCTTTGAAATGCACAATGAGTCACGCAGATCAGGCAAATGGGCCGAAAAACCGAAGCCGCCCACGATAAGAGTATTTATATAAAGCTAAACACAGCCGGTGATAGCCATAAATCCATAAAATCAACTCATTTTTATACGCCATACTCAAAAAGTACCCATCTTTTCGATTTTTGCGGAAAACAGATTTGTGTAACGCCCAGAAGGAAACGTTTCCGTCTACATAAAGTATATATATTCTTGATCAGCATCAATAGCCGAGTCGATTGAGCCCTGTCTGTCTGTCCGTCCCTATCAGCGCCTAGTGCTCAAAGACTATAAGAGCTAGAGCAACGACATTTTAAAACCGGACTTCTGTGATATGTCACTGTTACAAGATTGTTTCAAAACTTTGCCCCGCCCACTTCCGCCCCCACAATGAGCGAAAATCTGTGATACGAAGATACGAAAAAACTGAAAATGCAGAATCGTAGAGGATGACTATATCTTTTAGAGTGCAAAGCCTGAAACAGGTCGTATAATTATTATAGCCAGAATCAAGAAAACAATTTCAATAAGAGCTATAATAATAATACGATCCAATTCAGATTCTGCAGTCTAAAAGATATGGTCATTCTCTACGATTCTGCGTTTTTAGTTTTCTCGTAGCAATGACATATCACAGAAGTCTGGATCTAAAACATCGTTGCTCTAGCTATTATAGTCTTTGAGCACAAGGCGCTAATAGGGACGGACAGACGGACGGACGGACAGACAGACAGGGATCAATCGACTCGGCTATTGATGCTGATCAAGAATATATACATACTTCATGGGGTCGGAAACGATTCCTTCTGGACGTCACACACATCCACTTTTACCACAAATCTAATATAACCCAAAACTCATTTTGAGTATTGGTTATAAAAGGAATTGGATCCTGTCAGCTGGTAAACATCACCAGGCTTCAATTCATGGCCATCCTTGAACCATTTGAGCACTGGCGTTGGGAAGCCCACCACTTTACACTCAAAGGAGACAAGACCCTCTTCAGTTAGAACGGCACGAAGGCTCTCCATGAACCGAGGCTTGCGATAGTTTCTGGGAACTGTAAAGGAATTTATCAAAATTAATTTCGTAAAGAATCTCTCGTTAATCTTCACTCACTGTCCATGTTAACTGCACAGGTGGAGATGCCCACACATCCCTCAAAGCTGGTGACCGCACATTTCCATTCCCCGGCATCGCAGGACTCCGATGGCTTAATCTCGATCATGTAGACGCCCAGGCCATCTTCAATCAGTTTATATCGCTCGGCGGTCTCCACACGTCCATCGGTGTTGTACCAACTGGCCACAGACTATATTTTTGTTTAAAATGTTGCAAACAAAATTGTAAAGATTAATCAATTTTCGGTCACTTTCTAGCTAAATCTGTTGAGTGTTAAAAAGAGTGGAAAAATTGTATGATGATCCTACGAAAACATATGTTACCCTTAAAGGCTGGCCGAATATCGAAAGGATTTTTATTTTTATAATACAAATTATGAATAATAATTCATATTTGTGATAAAAATAAAATGTATTGGACATAATGAGGATTAAACAAGTACATAATAACAAGAAAAAAAAAATAGTTGTAAAACAATTCGTTTAAATGAATTGGTAATAAGAGTTTATCCTATTCCAGGATACCTCTGGAAAAAATAGTCTGCCTTTATTTTTTCATACACCTATTTTACTTTTTTCAACTTTCATTTTATTAAACTCATATTATTTGTCATCCCTGCTTCAATTAAAGTAAATTAATAGTTTTCTTCGGCTGGATTATTTTAAAGATAGATAAACTCTGTTTGCTTTCTCAAAAATTTGTTCAAAATACTCAAAGTACTCGTTTCTTTTCGAATGGGAATCAATTGGGTGGCACCAGAGGGAGTCAAGGTCTGTCTTTGACAGGGTCGTGACATCGACCATCAACAGGTGCTTGTTCAGCCGTGGTTGGGCCAATTAGCATATGCATTTCCCCCATGCAGAGTCGCATGACCTGCCAGTATCCAGACCACTCCATCAGCCATCATTCCATTGCGGAGCCCTTATGCAGCTCCTTGTCAGGGCGAAACATCCTCACTAAAGAGGCATTTTAACGCTTCAAATACATTACGAGAACGGTTCGAAAGGGTTAAAAAACACATATGCGAGAACAGGAGGCTCGAAGGGTTGAAAGGGCAGGGTTAGGGCAGTGTAATTGCTTTAAGAGGCAACAAAAAGGAATCACACAAGTGGCTGAACATCGGCTAATTCCATTTCTCCAAAACGAGAGGAAACGAGGGGGAACGTTGTGAGTTGCTGCGGACACCGCAACTCTACAGTTATACCCGATACTAAGTCAGTATGGCTCTCCTCCGGCAGACGCCGCTAATATTAAACGACACGACAAAGAGTGCTTGCGAGAGAGACAGAAAATCAGTCTGAGCGTGACGTCGGGCGCTGCGTAGACAATGCAAATTGATTTGTTCCTTTTGGCTACAAAAATTATCTGATCTGATCCAAATTCAGCAACCTGATAGATATAGTTATTCTCTATGATTCTGCGTTTTTAGTTTTCTCGAATCTGCAATATTGTGGATGCAACAGATTTTCGTCCTTTGTGGGGGCGGATGGGGGTGGGGCGAAATTCTGAGATATACGTTTTATAGTGACATCTTAAAGGAGTGTGTGTACCAAATTTGGTTACTCTAGCCTTAATAGTCTCTGAGATTTGTGGTTGCCTCAGATTTTCGTACTTTGCGGGGGCGGAAGGGGGTGTGGCGAAATTTTGACACAAAACGGTCAAGGTCCGATATCACAGGAGTGTGGATACCAAATTTGGTTGCTCTAGCTCTTATGGGTTCTGAGATCCTTGAACTCATATTTTGCAATTGGCAAAACCGACTATGAAACCTGTGTGTTAGAGTGAGACAGAGCGAGAAAGAGTGAAATTGTTTTCGTGATATTATCTGATGATTATACGATCTGGTTCAGATTTTGCACTCTAGAAGATATAGTCATCTTCTACGATTCTACGTTTTTAGTTTTCTCGTATCGTCGAAATTGTGGATGCCACAGATTTTCGCCCTTTGTGGGGGCGGAAGTGGGCGGGGCAAAGTTTTGAAATATTTTTGGAGCAGTGACATATCACAGAAGTCTGGATCCAAAACATCGTTGCTCTAGCTCTTATAGTCTTTGAGCATTAGGCGCTGAAGGGGACGGACAGACGGACAGACGGACGGACGGACAGACGGACAGACGGACGGACGGACAGACAGACATGGCTCAATCGACTCGGCTATTGATGCTGATCAAGAATATATATACTTTATGGGGTCGGAAACGATTCCTTCTGGTCGTTACACACATACACTTTTACCACAAATCTAATATATCCCAATACTCATTTTGAGTATCGGGTATAAAAAGAAAAGAGAGCCACAGAAGCCACAGTTCCATCGAGGAACTTCCGCTTCCGGTTCCCGGCCCACGCCGCGCAGACTCTCCTCCACTTACTTCAATGTTAATCAGCTGAATGGAAAATCAGTTAATCCATATTCCTCCCTGCAACAAATCGGTTCCGTATGTGGATATATGTACATAGGAGTATATAAAAACAAATACTGGTTGTATCTTCACATTAAGTGATTCATAAGTATTAAAGATAAGCAAATGCAAAGAATCGTCCAATCTGAAAATCCAAACTATTAGCCAGAATCGATGAATTTTTTAATAAAATTAATAGTAATAGATAGCCTTGTTAAACTGCCCCTCGTTTACTATTTATATCGAATTAGACGAAATGGTGCAGAGTAGGCGCTTACACAGCCATACGCTGCTTATTGCTTAATAAGAATAGATTGATGTGCATAATGACGAAGAATTCACCCGAGGTTCACTGATCAATCAATATAATTATGCAAAGCAACAGGAAACAAGATGGATGCTTAATGCTCATTTTTAGTTATTATTTCCAGTCATTTCTTTTGACTTTCCTCACACCGTGAACACCATCGATGTTTTCCTCCCATATATCCAGCAGTGTTTTTTTGTGGTCTCAGGGGTTCACAAAAATGTGTTATCTAAAGACACAATTAGTTTAAATTAAAATTACAGATTCAATTTATTAATTATGATTAACTCTTTTTCACCACTAGGTCGCTGATTATCCTATGTTAACCAAACTACATATGTCTCCGGCAAGACGCATGACACAGCCCTAGTGTAAACAAGATATTAAACTCAAAAATTGATTTCAAAAATATAGAATCATCGAACGCGATCATGCGAAATCATAGTTTATCGATCACTTGACGATTTTTTATCGTGATGTATCCTATATTGAAAAGGGAAAACATTGACAATTTTGAACTTCTGAAAATTGTTCCACATTGAATGAAAATTAAAGCAAATCGGAATTATTCATAATGAATGTTTATTTTAGACTAGACTAGACTTATAGTCATGCTAAGCACTTTATGCATGAATTTATATGTTTTTTTTACTTTTCCAAAGTATTCGAGTATTTTACACATCTGCAACCCCCGAAATTCAGGTGGAAATACATATAATTATTGTCCTGATGCTGATATGATGTATACGCAAACTATGCAGCATGCCCCAAACAAATCCACATACACCTAGAATAACACACACACCCACGGAGATTGAAGTACATACATATGTATGTATATGTTTATACATAAATTTATTTTACATAGAAAACACACGCATATATTCCCACAGCGAGAGGACTGCAGATGTGCAGCTTTTGTAGAGAAAATCAACATAAGCAAAATTTCTCTCTATCGTTCTCTCTCGCTTGCCCACTTTATACCCATCTCATTCGCACTGTTGGTGTGGGTGTGGCTGTGGGAGTGGCTGGGGTACGCATAAAAGACATATATACATATATCTGTATAAAAGAACAAATCTAACGATGCGTTATGGGCATATTTGCATTCGAAATTGAGAAATGTTCTCTCTATAAATGTGCGTGAGTGCAGGGCCCTCTATATATACATATATATAGATATGTAAATACATACATAGATAAATTGTGGTATTGTATATAACAGTCCTATGTATTTATGTACGTGGATCACCAGCCAATCGGAATGTACAGGGTGATCAATCACATCAGAAAGCGGCAAGTGAAAGTGATTAAAAGTGATTGCATCCTTAAGCCAAAAACCGAAAGTTCATCCTTCGTTGATCATCATATCACTTATCAATATACATATAGATATACCAATAAATCTTTCCCAAGATCAAGCTTTTGGTCTCATCCTTCATTGACCATCTCTCATTTGCTGAAATACTTACCAAAATATCACCCTGTGACAGCATGTCTGACGTGGTACGGCCCTATACAAATAATTCTCACATTGCTCGAATAAATAAGCCAAGCGCATGAAATTCGGTAAAAGCATGCTGGAAACAACAACGCAAGAGAGGCACTGAGAATGGGAAAGAAAACAACAGAAAACGAGAAGCCCTCGAGGCATCCAAAATGTTCGTTCAATGTACATAGTACATACAAGGATACATGTACATACATACATATGTATGTCTGTGTGTGTCGACACTACCACCAAAAAACGCATGACTAAAAATTCATTCAGCCAGCCAAGCGTACAACCACCCAACCCAACCAAAACCCACACCCAAAAAACAACAGAAAACCCACCTACAGCCAAAACGAATCATCAGCTTTCACCTTGTCGTCTTCCCCACTCTGGAGGCACTGGCAGTCTCCATATGGATATTGGGATGTCTGGGAGATTTGGGAAGTAGGATGTGAAGAAATTTGCTTAAAGAAATATAAATGCACAAGAACCATATGAAATGAGCGCAGGAATGGGGAGAGTCAACAACCCCGATCCCTCCTATGACTTCCTCAAGCGTTTAAGGACTTATACCAGACAGAGCTACTAATGTTAATATAGTATTCCTATCCATCAGTCATATTTAGTTCTATTATCCCTTAAACTCAGTTAATTTTCTTTGAGAAATGTCTCGATTTAGAGTTGTACAAGGGTCAGATCTAATTCCTCTGTAACAAATGATTCTTATCCTTTCTTATGCCGGATCTTTAAAATAACTTTAATATGGGTAATATTTTCCACGAAATCTAGTTCAACTTTTGAAACGTCAAGATGCTTGCGAATTTGTCGAGCGTGACAAAATTTTTTAATAAACTTCTTCGAATTTTTTTTTCTTGGTATGACACATACACGTACATACTTCTAAATATCTCTAATTTATTATCAATATACAGTCGCCAAATGTTAAAGAAGTCAATACAGAGCCCATAACGAAAGTCTTCAAGACCCAGATGCTGCCTGTCCATCATGGAATGATTATCAAGGATTGGAGAACAACATTTGTACTACATTCTCAATGAATCCTGGAAGCTCACGCCTGAGGGGAGAGAGAGAGAGCAGTCGGGCCTGATCCAGATATTTCAGCTAGTACAACGTCCAATATGGCAGACAACTTAGTTTAAAACAAACGACTTTTTTGATTTCGTGGAATGAATTTTAACGGGTTCGGTTACCCGGCAGTACGGCCTTTGCAGCCTGGGTGACGGCCTTGAGGACAGATGGAGCCGGTGCCGCTGTGGGCACGGGCATGGTCACTGGCGAGTCGGGGGGATTGTAAAAGAAGTACAGCATAAATCCAGCAGCCAACACGATGTGGGCACTGAGGATCCCAATGATGAGAAACAGTGAGAACTGGGAGTTGCGCAGGGCTGGTGTCAGCACGGCAATTAGAACGGTGCCCGACAGCAGGGCTGCGGTGATGACTAGCAGCCACTGGAGCAGGGAGATCTGCAATCAAAAAGAATCAAGAATGAAAAACAATCCTTTCCAGTGGATAAGTGGCAAGCACTTACATTAATCACCCAGAGGATGGAGACGGGTATGTAGATGGCCAAGCTGTAGCCGTAAATGCACATCAGGGATAGCAGGGTGGGCGTGTAGGTGGCCTGCCTCAGGAAGCGCCAGAAAGAAAGAGATGGATGCACACGTATGAATGTGAACTAGAGCGGGATAGAGCACTTACGCTATCCGTTTCAACAGCATCGGCATCATCGATCGGCTTCAGGCTGTACTTGAAGAGGGCCCAGAGTATAACCGGCAAGATGTTGGCATAAAGAAAGATGCACGTGGCCGCGTACGAGACCAGGTGGAAGTTGTAGTGCCAGTGGTACCCATCGCTGGCATGATGCAAGTAGCTAGCTATGTTGCCGCTGATGGCAATCGAGAAGATCTGCGGGTTGAACATATATGGTTTTCATATAGTATGGTCAACTGGCTCGGCTCACATGGCTGCTGCGACACTCACCAGCGTGACTGTTATCCAGAAGGGACCATAGAGGTCGGGATTCTCGCCAATGTTCATGCGTAGATAATTGCCAGCCGCCCGCTTGGGTATCATCGAGTTGGCAATGCGCTCCAATACCATGTAGGTGTCCACGTTGAAGAATTGCTGATAGTACTCGATGGTCAGGAAGGATAGGCGTGCGCCAGAGCCGCCGCCACTACCAGCACCTCCAGATCCATCGATGGGGGCGTTCTGGAGATTGGTGGCTCCACCGCCAGCCATGGCATGTGCGGAAGTGCTCATATCGTAGATAAGATCGGCCAGAGGATCACCGCGCTGACGTTGTGCACTGCTACTGCCGCCAGCTCCAACGAATCCACTACCAATGCCACTACCCCCGCCGCCTGATGCGTGTGTTGGCGAGTTAACATTGATTTGCGCTGGTGTGCCGCTGTTAGTTGCGCTTGTGGCGCTATAGTCGCGAAACTGTAGCAAATCGTCTGCAGTCGGTGTCTCCATATCGCTGGATGCACTACGAAATCGGGGTTTCGGTAAATATTACACGTATTTTCCACTGCGCTGTTGTCCAAAGGCTATCTGTCCCAGGTATCGATAATTTTCGCAAGTTGGCAGTCGACTGTGAGTGTTGGCAGCCCTATCAGCTGCTGGTTATTAGTGATGATAATTTGGCTAGATTCCTATAAGATGTTTTTACAGTTACAGTATATACAGTGCATACATAAAACAAAAACATATTATCTAAAAACTTTATATACATATAACATAAAATAGGAAAATGGCTTGTTCTTTTGCACTTGAATTTATAATTTTTTATTATATAATACTATTTAGTTCAATGATAGATAAATATGTTGATAAATTTTATATTCCATACTCATATAATCAACTACATGTTTTCTTAACTCTAAATCAAAATATATCGTTTCGGGATATTTTCTGCTAGTCACGTAATACTTTTGTCATTTTATCGCAGTAATTGTTGGCATCACTGAGATAGCAATATGATGCTGCACAGTACTGGGGCCATAACTTAACGTTATCCAACACTTTTTTGCTTCTGCACAATAATCGCAGAAGTTTCCATCAGATTTACCGAAATTGTTTACTAATTTTAGTATTTCAGCGGAAAAACAGAAATAGTGCACGCTACGATCGCAAGTTCTGATCGTACTCCCAAAACACTCCAAGCAAACAGGAAAATGCCAGTGAAAAATGGTGATTCCGATGGAGAAGGGGACGTCTCTGGGGCGGAGTCGGAGCGCTCCAACTCCAGCCAGGGCCGTGACTCCTCCGACGAAGAGGAGAACAACGAAATCGACTCCGATGACTCCTCCGAGATGGATTCCAGTGATATTGAGCGCATCCGAGCCGAACACATTGAGGATATGCGTAAGAATCATGTCCCCCAGTAGAGCCCATCCATCCTCTATCATTCCCTGCTAACAAAGCCCTCTCATTCGCTATCCACAGTGAGTCTAGAGCGGCAGTTCAATACGCTTCGTGAGCAATATTACTTTGAACGCATCACCTGGATCGAAAGCCAACTAGCTGAGGTCCGTTCCGGCCGTTCCGAGGAGTTTGTGCATCCCCAGAGAGACCTCGACAAGGTCTACCGAACACGCATCGAGGTTGCCGATGTGCTTCGAAGATTTCGTCTGCAGAATATCGAACACAAGTTCCTGTCCGAGGAGCAGGCATGCGTCCAGCACTTGGAGGTAATTCGATACCATATTTTCCCGCCAAAAATCCTCTATCTAGATCTCTCCTATTCCGATGTAGAGCGAGAAGCACATGGCGGGAGACAACCTGCGAGAAGAACTTCTTGAGCGGATACGCCGCCTGGAAGAGGATCGTCATAATGTGGACATCTCCTGGGCCGACTGGGGCACGGACAAGCGACAGAGCAAGGTGCGGGGGCCAGGGCGCAAGAAGGCCGTCACAGTCACAGGTCCCTATGTGGTCTATATGCTGCGCGAGGAGGACATCATGGAGGACTGGACGATCATCAGGAAAGCGCTCAAGCGCACCTCTACCACCACTTCATCGGGTCCGGTAGCACCCACGTCGGGGACAAGTGTACTAGGGGGTGGTGGACCCACTGTGGGCATGGGTCTCTCTGCTCTCAGTGGCGGTGTCCCGGCAATGGCCGGTGCCAGTGGATAGCGGTGGGGGACTGCTGCTTGCGCCCCCATGCGTACCTGACGGTGGCAGAGGCAGCAGCAGCTGCAACGGCAGAAGCAACAACAGAGCTTCTCCCTATCGACTCCACCATCAACGCCGCCCCTCTCCTCGACCCGCTATCCCGCCTTCTCCCACTGCGGTGATCCATGACGGGAGACGCTAGACTGGAGTCGTGTCGTTCCACGTGCTAAGTCCCCAGTCACAGCACGTGCCCCCCACATCATCTCCTAACTAGCTAGATGTAGTTTAAGGCACAGTTCGCACTCTCAATGTAAATTTCCACTGCAACAAGCCGATCCCTTGATGTAATTTATGCTAAACGTTTAAGCAAATAAATTATCTGCAGTTATTGTGTGTATGGTACTGCAGATTTTCTATAAGTCGCAATGCCTTTCGATTCATAAAGGGTAAAATGTGTAGCACCTACGATCCCATCATTTTCATTTGCATGTGCAACACCTTTAAATATCCATATAAAAAAGCATTGGTTTGTTTCTATAGTATTAAAAAAAAGCAGTTTAATCAGAAGCCCTTGGCCTTGAGGTGCTCACGCAAGATATCCACATAGTCGCCGTGAATGTGTATCTGGCCGCTGAGCTCGTTGACGCGTGAGGCGCAGAGTTTTCCATTGCGCGCCTGCTCCACCACGGAACGAAGATCTTTCTCTAGGGCCCAAATGTCGCCCTGGACGCGACGCACCACCGTGATGCGACGTTGGCCACGGAAACAGGTATGTAAGTATACGGGCACCATGTGATTCTTGGTGCGGGCCACAAAATAACTGCTGTCCGAGCCATCCGACTTCTGTGGCTGCCACCCGGATGGGTAATCCGCCTTAGCCACCGGCCGGGGAACAGTAGGGGGCGGCAGCAGGCGTTCCACAAACTTCCAGGCAGCCGCGTTCTCAATGGGCTCCACCTCGAGGTACTGTTCTAGGCTCTGAACCTCCTTGGACGAGCGAAAGCTGGACAAGAGTGCGGGGTGCGTGTGCATGGAGCGTGTAAGCTGGAGAAGAGGTGGATGGCAATGAATTCTCGGGATTCATCGACATGGTAGGCACTTACCCTCACCTTGCCCAGCTTATGGCAGAGAACACTGCCCAGCAAGAGTTTCGTGGTAGCTGACATGGTTTTTATGCACTTTAAAGCGAAAAATAACAAAATTTTGGTTACATATGCGGTTCCACAGCAGTGTTGGAAGGCGCAGAACTCACTCACTTATCGATACATCGATAGGAGGTGCAACTGGATCGTAAAACAAAAATTCGTTAACATACAAATTGAATTGAATAAACATTTTTCCAGCTAACCGCCAACGCAAACACTAACTTCTACCAGCTTTTTTACGTTTATTAAGACGTTTGAATTGCAAAAAGTAGATGCAATCGGTGCAAGAAATGAGTTCTCATGGATTTTTGGTGCACTGACAACACATATTACTGATTGAGCTGTGATTAGCTCGCCGCACAGTCCGACAGCACATGGCAGCGCATCAATAATGATTAAAATGATCTATCTCTCTTATTTTCTCTGTTTACATAGCATGCAACAAATGCAGCCTGTGACGTCATCACCGAAGCTTTTATCGCTTTTTGTCAACACCAACACCACTGCCCACTTTCCTCGTTACTCACGTTACACACACAACGTTGCAACTGACGCCCGTAGCTGCGTTTGATTTTCGCCACTCTACACAGCCCCTTCCCCACTTCCCCCTCCACACCGCTTATACAATTTTTATTGCATTGCAGCTGTTGGCTCATTGTTGCTTTTGCAAAAACACACAGCATAAAATGTGTGCACTGCAGCTTTTGTTTCCGCCCCCCTCCCCCACAATCAGCTTTTCACGCTCAGTTTTCGTTGCGCTTTCGGTGCGACCAGTTGTCGCCTCGCCTCATACGCTGCTTCTTTGCCCACCATTTTGCCGATTGTCGCGAATATTGCAGATTGCAATTTGGCGCGCGCGAAACTCTGTCCGTTATACTGTGAGTTCCACTGTGTGTGCGTGGTTATGAAGTGATGTGCTTGACCGCGAGAGATAACGGTGTCACGACAGTGCTGTAAAGCTGCAGAATGGCCCGTAAGGACGATCCCGTATTCAATGTGAAATTCGTTCAGCTCGTGGAGAGCCAGTCCTGTCTGTGGAACTACACGCATCCCGGCTACAGCAAGAAGGAGGAGGTGCAGCGCGCTTGGCAGCATGTGGCCAACGAAATCAAGGACACGGGTACTGGCCACCACCACCTGATAATTGCTGATCATTCATTTCAACTATAATCAAATTTCATTTTCATTTTTGCGTTTTTTTTTTGTTGGTTTCAATTGCGTGCTCATTTGCCTCTTGCTGGTGTGTGTCCGTTTGTGTGTGTGCGATGCAAGCTTTTTGCTGCTTCGGTGTGAGTGCGCTGCGATTTCAATGCGGCTTGTGTGTAGGTGTGTCACTGTGTCGCACAGCGTTTGCATGCAATTAGTTGTTGCTTTGCCGCGGGGTCCGCCGACAATTGGGTTTTCAGCAATTGCTGCACAAGTCGCATACCCTACAGCACAACAGCCATCGCTGATCAATAGCCACTGGGAGTGCAAGTAGTAACTGTTCTTTTGTTCATGTTATTTTCTTCCTCTTTCCCGCAGTACGCAACTGCCGCGAGCGCTGGCGCACCATTCGGAGCAGCTTCCTGCGCTCCCTGAAGCTAGCCCGCACTCAGACGGGACGCGGCAAGCGTAAATACTACCTGTCCAAGTACCTTCAATTTTTGATACCTTACACAAAGTCGCGTTCCGGGCACAAGCAGGTGGCAGTGGCGGCAGGCCCGGCCACAGCGGGGATGGTGCTGCGCAAGCCCAGCACATCGACAGCGGCCACCTTTCTGGCCGGAGTGGGTCACCTGCGAATGGTGGGGCAGGTTACGGAGGAGGAGGAAACCAAAGAGAGCGGCGAGAGCGGGGGTGAGGGTGAGGGCCACCTCCCGCTTGATGTTCAGGTTTCGGAGGAGGAGGACAAGCACCATGTCACGCACTCGCCCACATCCTGCTTGCCCCTGCGATTGCAGTCGATCAAGGTGGAGCAGCAGCAGCATCCGCACACCCAGCCACAAACCCAACAACAGAGCGACAAAATTGTGGCCCACCAGTCGTTGGTGACGCTGCCGGCCACAATGGCTGCCGCTTTAAGGCACCACAATATGAACAACTGGACGGAGCTAGCTCACTGGCTCAAGGGCAGTAGTCATCATCACAGCAACGACAACGGGCTGCTGGCCCACCAAAAACTGTCGACGCCACCGCCACAACCCCCCCGGGTGGCCACCCCGGCACCGGCCATGCCTACACCGCCCCCAGCAACAGGACAAGGCCCATCAGCGGCACCAGGACCCGATGCGGACTACTCCTTTTTGATTAGCCTGCACCCCTACCTGAAGGAGATGAGCGGCAAGCAGAATCGGCGCTTTCGCCAGAAGGTTGTCGGCCTCATCGACAATGTCCTGGACAATGTCGACGTATGATGGAGTTGGGACTTGGAGCAACACCAATAGTGCCCATTTGTTATGTGTCTGTGTATAGCTAGCGTGTATTTGCATTGTCTTTTTTTCTGTTGAATGTTATCACGCAGAACGTAAGCAACCATTTGTTATATGTGAAATAAAGCCTGTAATTCATGCATATAAAATTATTTTTGAACACCTCATTTGAATGCGCGGGTACAGATGTGATCACAATGAGAGCTGATAGCGCGAAGCGAGTATCGATGACTATCGATTACCGGAATCATCTTTTAGTTTTTGAAGACTGACCATTTTCTGTTACAATTTAATTTCTTCCTAGTCGAGTCATACTAGGCAACAAAAGTTCAATAACTTTTGTAATTCTGAAAAGCTGATATATGCTGCTAAAAACGCTTTGTAGCTTCAGCTTACCATCTGGAAAATATTAAGCTTTCAAATTATAAATTGATCATTTTTTCCTGTTAATTTTTGCCTAAATTTTGACTTTTAAAACTCAAGAAGAATATAAAGCATTATTTCCAGTGCTTTCATATTTTTATACCCGATACTCAAAATGAGTATAGGGGTAGATTTCTGGTGAAAATGGATGTGTGTAACGTCCAGAAGGAATCGTTTCCGACCCCATAAAGTATATACATATATTCTTGATCAGCATCAATAGCCGAATCGATTGAGCCGTGTCTGTCTGTCCGTCCCTATGAGCGCCTAGTGCTCAGAGACTATAAGAGCTAGAGCAACGACATTTTGTACAAGTTACAATCTGTGGCATCCACAATTTTAAAGATGCGAGAAAACAAAAAACACACACGTTTCATGGGCTTTTTTACATATCGCAAAAAGTGAGCGGCAAAATTTGGTATCCGCACTCATGTCACCCCCTTTCGCCCCCACAAAAGACGAAAATCTGTGGCATCAACAATATTGAAGATACGAGAAAACTAAAAACGCACAATCATAAAGAATGACCATATCTACCAGATTGCCGAATCTGGATCAGACCGCACCATTATTATAGTCAAAAGTAACAAATCAATTTGTAGTGGCTAAGCAGCGCCCGACGACATTTTCCGACACGGTTTCTGTCTCTCCCGCACGCACACATAGTCGCTTAATGTAGCCATACTGACTACATATGTATGTATCGGGTATAAATGTAGAGTTGCGGTGTCCGCAGCAACTCACAACGTTCCCCCTCGTTTTTACATAGGTACATTAATTAGGCTTCGTTAAAGGTATCGTTTGTAAACATTTTTGGATAAACGCCTGAGGCGCAGCCGTTTGACCAAACCGAATAGTGCAGCAATTTACCGTTAAATTTCGTTGCTCGAAATACACCCTTTTTTACAAAATCAAATATTCAAATTGTTCGAAACAAAAAAGAAAGCAAAATAATCCAGAAATAATATAAAATGGAAAGAGCAAAAATTTGCGGTACTAAGTGTAATTAATCTACATATGTGCATACATATGTATGTCGGTATGTATTTGTTTTGCTTATGATTACTATTTTGCATCTATTAAATAAAAAAAAAATACACGCATGTTGAAGTAGACTGCTGAGGTGGAAAATCTCGCTATACACATGTGCCATGATAATACTCAAAATTTTTTCGGGGGTCCCGGAAGCTCTAGTATTTTGTTATTGTTATAGGACGATCACCAGGAAACCAAGCGAGAGAAACTCCAGCATATTGTATGCAGCCAAGGCCAAATCAAATTCCAAACAGAGCTGCTGAAATTTTTATGGGTTTGGTACATGCATTTTTTTATTATAGTCAATAAAATAGCCAATTTACACTAACCATACAATATATAGATGTGACAGTTCAATATACGAATGTAATGAACGGATATATTTATGTACATATGTATGGATGTACATAAGATATTTCATAATATAATTATGTAGAATAATTTTAAGAATTGTTCATGAGAGTATTAAAGGTGCGACACGCATCTAAATTTTTTCTTTGCAGATTCCCATCGAAAAGCGCTAGTTAACAATTTCATATAAGCCCCCTTTTCCGAAATTTTTGAAAAAATTTAGATCAGGAATTCGATGCTGGTCACGAATAAGTATTCGATGTGGCTTGGGACATGGCTCTAAGGGGCATTTCTACACGGTTTCTACATTGGTGCATTGGACAAGAGGGTGAGTTCATGAGTCCATCTTAAAAGATACTGGAAAATACTGGAAAAAAATTATGAAAAGTATAAAAATTGCGTGTGTGAGCTAGACGTGGTGGTACCAAAATGTACCGTCTCATTTTAAAAGTATATCGTAAATATACTGACGAATTCATTTTCTTTTATACATGATCCTCGTTTTTGATATTCCATCGAATATTACTAGCTAGATAGATCTCTCAGCCCTGCCCACATAATTTAATACGACTAATGAATCAACTGGGTTATTATTTTAAGCACTTGCTTATTAGTTATTGAGTTAACTCAACTATCGTTACCTATCGATGTCACGTCAGTATTTCAATTCAGTAAGAGCAATTAGATAGAGGTTGTCCAGCACTGGCAAAAATCAATTCTTTTAATAGAAAATATCGTACATGCTATTTCTCTCTTACAGCTGTCCCTCTGTGGACGTTTAGCTTATTACACTTATTTATTACTCACAACCATTAACAACATCAGCAATGGTTGTAGACGTGTAGACCCGGTCAACAACGGAAGCCTCAGCGAGTTAAATGTGTATGTAACTATTCATACACGCACGTGTATCTACGAGTGAGCGTGCGTGTGTGTGCGCTTGGTCGGTTCCAGGCTGCGAATGTGATGTAATTTGGCTTGAAGATAACGCAAAACAATTGTGATTGGGGTTTGTGTTTTGTGAGACACTTGTCTGATTATTTACACACAATAAATTATGTAAGGCACGACCGCACACTTCGGCACACACACACTTGCAGCACTCGCTCACTGTACCGCGAAGGGTGCGGGGAGAAAGTTGGAGCTGATATGCATAATAATTGATTTCCAATTTCAGATTGTCAGCAGACGGCCACAATCCATACCACCACCGGACAGATCGCTCAGCGAGTGGATGCTACGCCGAACAGCCTGTCTGAGACACCTCAATCGACGAACCGCCGTATACGGAAGCCGTACGGTACAGAGCTCCTTCGTCATGAGTAAATGCTGCTGCACCGCCACCACGACGATCACAACACCCGTTCTGAATTCATCGCCCCCGCGCCACAACAGTGTACTGACCCTAAACGGCGGCAAGAGTATGGCAACCGGCCATACTCCCGCGGCGCCGTCGCCCCACATCGTGGTCACTCCTGAGACTCGCGCGCGGATCGAACAGCGGCAGCAGACGGCCTTTGACTTCTTTGACGAGACCCTGCAGCTGTACGGGGTGGAGGAGCTGATCTTCTGCTTCAACGGCGGCAAGGACTGCACCGTGCTGCTGGATTTGCTGATGCGCTATTGCCGCCAGCAGGGAATTAGCAGTCGCGAAATCCCCATGCTGTACATCAAGTCGGATGACGCTTTTGCGGAGATCGACGAGTTTGTGGCCCGCTGCGTGGAGCACTACAACGTCCAGTTGATTGAGTACGAAGAGTCGTTAAAGGAGGCCCTCACCCACATGTCAGCGGACATGCCGCGTATCAAGGCCGTATTTGTAGGCAGCCGAAACACTGATCCATACTGCGAGCACCTGTCCCCCATGCAGGTTGGTCCCTCTCGTTCCATTCACCTGTTGTTTGCGTTGCTAAAACTCTTGCTCCCTTTCGACTGCAGCCCACGGACAATGGCTGGCCGCCGATGATGCGGCTGAACCCGCTTCTGGAGTGGTCTTACCACGACGTCTGGCACTACATTCATATGAACTGCGTGGCGTACTGCCCGCTGTACAACAAGGGGTACACCTCCATTGGCTACAGGTCCAACACGGTGCCCAATCCGCATTTGAAACGCCTCGACTTGACCAGCCCCTGCAGCGGGGCGGAGGGTGACTATAGACCTGCATGGGAGCTGGCTGATCCCACTCAGGAGCGTGATGGGCGCCTGCAGAGGAAGTAGGTGGTCTGCAGAGGGACAGTACCGTTGAAAGTGCATCAGCGAGTCGGTGGTGTAGAGCATACCTGCATACCTTTTAAATTAGTTAGTCACAAATTGTATATATATATATATATATTGCGTATGGGTGTTTAGACGCATCGGCTTTTGACGATCTACAAATATACATCAAGTTTTTTTTATACCCACTAATTGTAAATGTATGGTGTCAAAAGCTATAGTGTAGTGCTGTAAAGTGTCAGCGAAGGTGCCAACATCTTCATTAATTTCACAATATTTTGAGTCACTTCAATAGGCTCTTCGCGGTCAGAACGCGATCACTTGTTACTACATCAAGCAACAAGCATTTTAATAAATTCTAACATAGTTAAATGTGTATTTAAAAAGAAAACATATATATCGATATATATGCATATCAATGCATATCGGTTCAACGGTGCTGCCAACCTGCGCTAGACCCCAACAGCTGTTTTTCAATCTGATTCCGCGTTCGTTTTTTGAACTTATTTTGGTTCCGCTTTTGTTGTTTATGTAACTTCCAAGATAGAAGAGGCGCAAAAAAACGACCAAACCTTGCTGAAGGCGGGAACCACCAGCAGCAGAAGCAACAAAACCTCAAGCATCGCCCACATATCGCCTCCGCAACCGCATATTCGACGACAGCGACCACAGTGTCGTCATCTGGGGGTAAACCGGAATAGTGATAGTCGAAAAAGTGGGAGCTGGGATGTCGCGGCGCTCCCAAGATCTCATCGGGGTGCTGCGGGGCCTGCAGCTGGTGGCGGAGGCGTGCAGCCGCGAGCACCTGGCGCTGTCGAAGCATCTGTGGAGCAATTCGAGCGTGCGCGAGCTACTGGCAGAGAACGTGAGTCAGACGAGACAGACCGTACGCCAAGTAGGGCAGCAGCCGGCCGACGAGCTCAAGAAAGTGCAACAGGTGCTGCTAGAGACGACCGAACGTAGCTACGTGGTGGTTAAGGGAATCTGCTCGCTGTTGGAAACCAAACTCTCGATGATGCCCCAACTGCCGGGCGTGGCCTCTGGTCGGAGCCAGGAGCGGCGGCCGCCGACAGCTGATCAAACGCCGACGAGCGCACAATCTGATCTCGATGCCGCCAACCTGGACATATCCTCCATCACCCTCGAGGAGTTCGAGGACATCCTCTCCAAGCGCAACAAAAACCGCCAGGTGAGCCTTCGGACGCCCACCACCCAGAGCAAGCAGGTGCCCCTCGCGCAAGTAGCAGGAGTATCGCCGACGGCCGAGGGTGTATTCGCCAGAGACACCCAGTACGTGGACAACGTGCTGCGCTTTGTAGCGAGTCCCTCGCCCGTACCCCCCGAAACAGCATCCCGGACCGGGGGAAGCATTGATGTGCCCGAACTGAGCAAGGTGGCCAAGCAGCGGCGCGTGCCGGCCTCGCGCTTGGGAAGGATGGCCTCTTTTGGTGGTCTCTTTGCCGGCCTGGGCATTGGCACCCTCAACGAGCTGACCAAGGGCGCCCTAGGCATGGGCGGCTCTAAAACGATGCGAGAGGCCTTGCTCAGTCCGGCGAATGCTGAGCGCATCGTAGACACTCTGTGCAAGGTGCGTGGAGCGGCATTAAAGATCGGCCAGATCCTGAGCATCCAGGACTCGAGCGTGGTGTCGCCGCAGCTGGCCAAGGCTTTTGAGCGTGTGCGCCAGGCGGCCGACTACATGCCCGACTGGCAGGTGGAGCGCGTGATGAACACGCAGCTGGGGCCCGGCTGGCGCCAGCGGCTGAGGAGCTTCGAAGACAAACCATTCGCGGCAGCCTCCATCGGACAGGTGCATCGCGCCACGCTGAACGATGGGATGCAGGTGGCCATCAAGATCCAGTACCCGGGCGTTGCGCAGAGTATCGAGAGCGACATCGACAATCTGGTGGGCATGCTTAAGGTGTGGGACGTCTTTCCGCAAGGCTTCTTCATCGACAATGTGGTGCGCGTGGCAAAACGGGAGCTGCAGTGGGAGGTCGACTATGATCGCGAGGCGGAGTATACGGAGAAGTTCCGCCAGATGATCGCCCCCTATCCGGAGTACTATGTGCCCCGGGTAGTGCGCGATCTGACCACATCCAGTGTCCTTACCACCGAACTGATACCCGGCGTGCCCCTCGACAAGTGCTTCGATCTGAGGTGAGTGCCGAGTGCTTCCTTCTGAAGAACATCCCCTCTAATCCTTGCGATTCCTTCGCAGCTATGAGCATCGTGCCCACATTGCTGCCTCCGTGCTGAAGCTGTGCCTGCGCGAGCTCTTCGAAATCGAGTGCATGCAAACGGACCCGAACTGGTCGAACTTCTTGTACGACGCACCCAGTCGGCGGCTGATGCTCATTGATTTTGGATCGACGCGCTTTTACAAGCACGAGTTCATCCGGAACTACCGTCAGGTGATCATCAGTGCCGCACAGAACAACCGCCAGGGCGTCCTCGAGATGTCACGTGAGATGGGCTTCCTCACCGGCTATGAGACGAAACAGATGGAACAGGCCCACGTCGATGCTGTGATGATACTCGGCGAGATCTTTCGCTACGACGGCGACTTTGACTTTGGCAAGCAGAACACCACCGAGCGGCTGGCCGCCCTTGTGCCCACCATGGTTGCCCATCGGCTCTGTCCGCCGCCCGAGGAGATCTACTCCATTCACCGGAAGCTCTCGGGCATCTTCCTCCTCTGCGCCCGCCTCAATGTCCGCATGAACTGTCTACCCTTCTACCGGGAGATCATTCTCGGGAAATTCAAGGACTAAGCGTGGTCACATAAGTTCGGTATTCCGTTTTTGGTTTTCGTTAATTGTTTTATTTCCAGTACTAACTGCTCATAATCCCAATATATAGACTTTGCTTATCTCAATTCGACAAGTGTTTTGTAATTCTTGGGTGCATGTGGATTTCCTATACAAAGAGATTTCTTATCTCTATCTCATCCTGCATCAGCAAAAAACATAACAATAAAAATGTCAAAATTCGAAAGCGATATCTGGTTCAAGTGTGAACCAAAAGAGGTTTGAGTAGCTTCCTTAAATCGCTCTTCAAATCACTGACAGTCAACGGTGACATACATATGTATAAGAGATATTTTTTAAGGAAAGGAAAAATTTTCTTTGCAAAAGTCGAAATTCGTTCTATGATAATATACAAAATTCATCGCAAAGGAATGTAGCATTTTTAAGCCCAATATAACTTTATATATGTACATATGTTTTTTTTTTAAATATCATCCCTATCCCTGTGAATGTTTATGTAAAAGCTATTAAAATCTCAGTTTTTCGAGAATTTGAAATAAACCCATTGTTTTCTCCACTTTAGTGGTTTGGTTGCCATCAAATATTTATTTTTTAATTGATTGCTGTATAGCTTTGGTATTGATACAACAAATAAGAGGAGTTTTCTTCAATTAGTTTTGAAGTATCGATTGCAGCTCGAACGAAATACGATTTGAAGAAAGAAAATTTTAAATTGAAAATCTGTTTTTTATTGAAGAATGATAAAACAGATTGAAAACCGATTTTCTTTGATAAATTCTGTACGTACCTACGAAACTCAAGCGATCTTCAGCCAAAGACAAAGGCCAAACGATTTGAGGTAAAATCTTTATATACTCTTGCAAATCCATCAAATTTATATATAGTTTAATTAAAATATGGTGAAATATAAATGTAATGTATGTACATATATAACACATATTGTCGACATTTAATTCGGATGGGATCTTATATTAATAGTTAATGGAGTCGGATATTAATTTATCAGCTTTTTGAATATTCCATAACAGACGTAATACTTAAAGAATGGGTTTTAAAAATCGAGCAGTACGTGTAGAAACAGGCAGTGTATCGCAGAATAAAGGCCCCCGATCAAAATCGATATGAATATTTACGAGAACACAAACTATCAGCTTATAATATTTTCAAAAATATATATATAGTACTGCAAAGCTACATATGAACATATCAATATACCGATATTCAACATCGGAGCAACGCAAAATTGAGTATTATACTCTCCTATCTCTCTTCTTTGCTTGATCGAGAGAGCGAATCAAGGTATGTGAACTAGGTAAGGTGATGTTCGTATTATGCATTGTAATGTAGCTGGGCATTTGTCCTCGTTGTCCACACCTTTTTTTACTTTTTTTTAAATTTCTAGTCAGCAATATGTAGTTACCGTGTAGTTACCATGTACAACAAATTTATTTTGTGGACATTTTTGTTGACTTTTTTAGTTTAAAGTATATTTTATTAACAATCCTATTGAAGGGAGAACTTAGCCAATCTTATAGAAAATTTATTAATTTGTCGGATAAGCAAAACTAAAATAATTTACTAAAATCAGAGCACAGGTTGATTTAATTTAAAAAACAAAGTAAAAATTCAGGAAAATGAATTCCACAGAATCTACATTCATATTGTTAATTCCGCCAAAAAAATCAAAAAATATACACATACTATGTGTACATATGTACATATGGTATGTATATCAATATTGGATAGATCAATATGTACATATATTAACATCCCCTTAACGTAGGCCGAAGCAGCGATCGGGCGTTCGTTGGTGGGTGTTATGGGTGGTTGGTGGTATTGAAATGTTCAATCTTTCTCGGGCCGCGGACAACGAAACAACAGGTTTCAGCTGTTGGCGGTTGGCGCGCGTTTTTAACCGCATTCAGAATAGTAGTTCCGTTATATCCGTATTGATCCAACAAAATATCATCTAAAAATATATCTATCTACATATATATCGATATATCAGTACATATTAAAAAATCTCTACGGTACAGTAAAAGATTCTAAAAATTTTCGTCGGGTGCATTCGATTTGATTCGAGAATTTATCTATTCCGTATCGTATTCTATATAACAGTATTACACCACAGTGGGGAGCAGCAGCAGCGGTAGTGGTAGAGCAGTAAAAAAAAAAACTTTTGTTTGTTGAATTTAATTGAAATTGCTCCAACTCGGAATTTCTTTGCAAGCACCTGTTGCTACGTGCATTTCTCAAGCGTTTTCTGTGCGTCTTTTGTGCGTTTTGGGTGGATCCTGCGCGGCTTCTGAGCAGGCTAACGAGCGTTTTCTGTGCGTTTATTACTGTGGGGGATTCGCGCGCGGGCAATTCTACATCGACGCGACTGCATCAAGCGGATGTCTGCATCTTTGCTTGGATCTAATGCATTTTTGTTTAATTTTGTTTTTTTTTTATTTTCGTGAGAGTGCAGAGTGCAACAACAAATACCAACCAACAACAAAATAAAGTGAGTGGTTGAGAGTTCATTTTTAATAAAAGTTAATTTAAACAACAAAAGCAGCTACAAGAAAATCAAAGCAGTGGAAGAGGAAAAGCAGAGGATAGTTAGATATCATCTATGATAATTGACGAAAAGTAAGTATGAAACTGAGTTGCATTTTCATGAATAAAGAGAGACAGAGGGACAGAGCGTGTCCTGCGCGTTTGGTGAGCTGTTATTTCTGCGATGCGATATTAAAAATATTCAAAAGGATCATCTGAGCAGTAGCCCCAAAATGACTATTAGTGAGTCATTAAAGGAAAAGAAGAAGTAAAAGAGAGAGAGAGAGAGTATCAGATGTAGAACCTGCAGTGGAATCTGAGGAATTGTTTTTACTTATACTACTATATCAAAGGAAGCAGTAAAATCAGTGGATCAGAATTATCATTAAAATCACATTTTTTTTTACATTTTATTGTTAGAAGAGAATCCGAAGTAGTGGATATCATCTTTCAGGGCCCAGAGTCCTTTTCGGAATATATTCACCTCGAAGGGAAATAGCTGCTTCCACATTATATTGCTGCACAATCTTGCAGAACGTTCTTCCTTCAATTCACAGAACCCATCAGGGTTCAGTTCCCTGTAAGCCTGCGAATATCTTGATATTTATTCAGCTCGAATGATTGTCTTTTTTGTATGTTTTTTCGAAAATCAGCTAAGAAATAAACAGTCATATATGTATGTACGTAGCAGTGGAATAGTTTTTCGCTTTTCAATGAAAGAGTGAGACAATAAATGATCTGCCAACTCTGCAGCACTTATAATCCCAGAAATCACTATACATACATATACATATGTACATATGTAGGTCGGAACACTCAAGAATGGATAACCATATATGAGAGGAAACGATAGGAAAAAATTTCCTTGCTGAGAACTGACTTGTATCTAAAAGATTTTATAAAAACCCGACAAAAAATTTGATTGAAATGAGATGACTATATCGTATACATAGTAGCTGTTATGGGAACAAACCGAATGGTATTTGTTGAAATGTTTTTGTTTTTTGTTCTGCTTTTGATATTCGTTTTTTACGTGTACTATCGGAGCACGTTGGAAAAGTCTTAATAATACTACAACAATATACTGTATGCACGAGTATGCATGAGTATGAATAAAACTGTTCCAAATTCATATGTATAAATCGTACCGATACAGATACAGATACAGATACTTTACATATACATACATACGTTGAGAAATGCCTCAGACGCTGCCACACTGTCGCCGCTGCCAGCTGGTGCCACTGCCTCTCCGTGTCGCCCCGTGCCCCTTCAGTCGCAGTCGCAGTCGCAGTTGAAGAAACCTTTTGATAATCATATCACGGAGTCCTACTGATAATTCGCATTGTATTTGCTCGCTCTCTTTCTCTCTCTCTCGCCGAAACGCTGCTTTATCAGCGCACGCCAAACGCCACACGCTCTCTTCTGTTCCGTCGCGCACTCTCTTTAGACTCTTTGGACAGCTCTTTTTGAACTCAAAAGTGTGCGATCATTGGCTCTTTCTGAACAAAATATGAATAATAATTGTTTATTAAATTAAGCATACAGTGGAACCTCTCATCCGACTGTCTTTCGTTCAGTTTTCCAAAGGTTTTAATTATCTTAAGACCTAGGAGAAAGTACTGTAATCAGTACTATGTGTAACAATTATTCTCTATATGTACACATCCATGTGCTTTAGTATCTCTAAAGAATCCCCATCCACTCCTCTGCACATTCCGTCGATGATGAAGAAAAATGAAATGAAAATTAAACGTTGCTCTAGCTAATCATTCGACTAGGGCATACCCATTCGGCGGGCATTTAAATCTACAGAAAGAAGATGATTTTTCTGCCAATCAAAGACATATAGCCGGAAAACAAAGCCATGGGTTTTGTTTTATTTTGGATCTGTAATCCTGTCGAGAAGCATCTACCCTGTAATCTGTACGAAACAGTGGGTACAAAAATGATTCGAAACTATTGTGTAATTTACATTAACGAGCGGATGTTGTTGGCTTCTACTATATAATGAACCAATTACCCAGTTTGTCTCTTGATTCGATTGCTCTGCAGGCAACGGCAACGGCAACATCAACGGCAATGGCAACGAGTACCAGTAGCACTGTCCACTGTCGCAGAAGCAGTCGCAGATACATCCATCCATCTTTGTATGTAGATACGTTTGTATCTGCTGTTGAACGAGATTTTGCTGTTGTTGTTGCGGCTGCTGCTGCGGCCACTGTGATTGTTGCTCTTCCGATTCCAAATTCCACTTCCAATTCCATTTCATTCATGCTGAAAGACACCCACTTGTATGATTATGAGGCACTGTGGCACTGCACAGATGTGCCTCTCGCCATAAGATACACAAGCACACAGATGCATACATACATATTTGGCCATCATCAAGTGCCACTTCCGCCTCTGCCGGTTGGTCGTTCGGTCACCCACGTGCCAAACGTTTCAAATATTTCACATTTTGTATGCCCCTCTCTGAAAGAGAAATAAAAGATAGATTTCTCAGCCAGAAACTATGCAAATTGTCATCACATTATCACAAAGAGTACTAGTAAGTATTTATCGATAAGGATAAGTAATGATCGAAAAGCATCGCTAAACTAAATTAAAATTGAACAAACTGGATGGCAATCGTTGGCTGGATATCCAAAACATACAGCAAAGGCAAAGAGTGCTCAGAGACTGTATCATTTATGTACAGATCATCAAAAGATGTCATTACTAAACATGAAGAAACCAAGGGCTTTGCTATTATCTGGAAGGCTTTTTCAGCAAAATGGAAAGAGGGATTTGTGTACAGTTCATCATTAAAATCGATCGATAAAGTTTCTATGAATATCCACACATCAATGAAAGGCTCCAGTTCCATCCACAAATCGATTTGCTATGTTTCTAAAAATTGGGCAGGCCCTTAAAAACTTTTCCACTCCGTCCAAACTGCTGACCTATGGGAATAATAATTGGAGCATCGACAAATGAAATGTTCACTTCAGGCGCTCGGCCCAACCCAATTCTTTGTTTATTCTCGTTTTCAAGTCGATTCGGAAATACTACTCGTAAATCCTTCATCGATTATTTGTGGCGTTGATATCTGTAATTTGAGGATCTCTTGGGGACTCATATCACTGTCTTTTGGGTGGTCAATTTTCAATTGAAATCTCGCCCTCTGGCACACTCTTTTTGCAGCGAGGTTGCGAGTTTAGCTTATGATTGAAACAACTATCACAGTAATTTTCTTTTTGTTGAGGCAGTCTTGGTTTTCTTCTGCGTATTCATGGGGCTGCTACCATCTATCCATGCATCAGGCGAGCATCAGGCAGGCAGTCCACTGCGATCTACTTTGTTGTCGATCTTTGTAATTTTTTAATTACGCTTACCAAACGCCTTGGACTTGGCATGTAAATTGTTGATAAATTATGTTTTTAATAGCCACTTGATGCCGTTGTAGCTGTTTGTAGTTGTTGTTGCGGTCGGATAACTGGCGGCAGAGATACGAAAACAAATATATACTATCTATCTGAATGACAAAATGAATACGCGTCGGATACCTCATAAAACGGGAGAACGGGTTGCTTTAAAGTTTTATTGAAATGCTGGACCTTCGCTCTTCGATTGATATTTATAGATGAATAGATTCACAGAATCCTATGTATGGAATACAATCTTAACGTTTTATTAAAGAGTACATGAATAACGGACTTTAAAACCATACAACTCTTTTGGGTTAGAGATTCGTTTGATTCATAAAAAATCATTGATTTATTAATTATTATTGTAGATTCTTTGCTGACATGATAATTGATTGCCTAATTGTTTTTTAGATCGTATGCCTGTGAGTTAATTGTTCTTAAAGATTTGATGTGTGAACTAATAGAATCATATTTAAGTCAGGGACTAATAGGTTCCGATGGATATTCAATGGTGCTTCAATCAATAAAAAGAAGAACAAGTTCTTAAAACTCGAATCAATGGCTACGAAAATGGAATCCCATTCTAGGTTTTTGTACGTCGATGAACCCTGGAACATGAGGCACCTCCCAAAATCCCTTAAACCATTAGAAAGCTCTTCGATAGATAGACAGGGCTTTTCCACCTTGATAATTTGATACCCTTACCCCCACACATTCTTCTACCTTTACCTGTGTATGTACTTTATACATATATATATACATATATACATATTTGCCAATGTGTGCTGATAAATGGTAAATAAAAATGCATGTTCTGTTTGTATTTGCCCGAACAAAGCAAAAGCAAAGGAAAACAAACAAAAGAAAAGGCAATAAGCAACAGCTAAAAACTAAAAACCAACAAAAGAGTACTTTTCTTAAAAATATTACTTAGTAATAAGTACTAATAACGATATATTTTTGTGTTTTATTTTGTGGATCCAACCGATTCGTTGAGTTTTCGCTTTCGTAGATACCTTTCCCTTCAATATTTGTTTTGTTTTGTTTTTTTTGTTTTTTTTTTTTTATTATTTTTTTGTAAATTTCAAAAGCTGTACGCCCATAAAAACAGTGGAAACACTCAAGTTTTTAATCTTTTTTGAAATATTATTCGGAATACTACGAGTACTAGTATGCTTAAAAATTGGCCGGAGATATTTCCTGGATGAAAGAGAAGGAGCTATGGAACCAAAAGATTGCCGATTAAATTATGATATCTTAGAGGGTTGATTGATTTCTGGAAACCAGAAAATGTGTCTCATATTCCTCTTAATTAAATAGAAAAATTTGTTATTTTTCAAACGATCGTTGTTTTGATGTTATGGTTTCCTTATTAGATGCAAATTCAGGTTACCATTTTTAAAACGATCTAAAGAAATGTTTCTAGCTAAAAGACGGCTTTCAAAGCGAACATGAGATGTTCTTAAAGCTTTTATTTTTATTCGATGGGAACAGATTATAATAATCCTTTTTTTAAAAGATTCAGATACAACTTTTGGATAAGCACTCATTGTTCAAGAATATGTATTTCTTTGGTTGCAGCGAAACGATCTTTGAAAATGAAAATCCTCCTAGGAATCCGAATCCGAAAATCGAAAACCTGATTGCTACTCGTACTCTCTCGTACTATAATTGACTGGCATT